TTATCTAGACCGCCCAACTTCGAAAGGCCATATCTCCCTCATACGAACTAAACACTGAGCAAACTCAGTGGCGTTGAAAAGATAATTCAAATAGCTTTCCTACGGTTTCTGGTAGCACACCTAACTCATCTTGAGATAGGAGTTATGGTTATTTGAAGTCGACCCATAACTCATACTTAGCTTAACTTGCAAAATTTCAGATTTTGCTATTTCCAATTTAGTTCTTTTTGGAACTCACGGTGCTACATCTATTGACCTTAACATTTAAGAAATTTTTAATTTCTTGGTAAAATCTCACTCACTACGAAGAACGGTTCGAGTCTTAGTTTGATTTTTTTTTTGGGATGTTACAATATCTCCCCCTTGGGTTCATTCGTCCTCGAATGACGTCTAGTCTGGGTATGGAATAGGGTTACTCTTACCAAGGTCTGATTTTAATGGTATGCTCTTACTATATTCAAGCTCAACCCAAATACTTAGGTTCGGGTTCTATACCTGTCTATAGGGAATCTCATCCCAAGACTATTACTCCTTACCACCACATTCAAGCTTAGTACTCTAACAGCTCCATGGACTCCTACTAACCAACTCCTTCGGATACAACTAAGGGCTCTCATTTAACTATTTCTCATAGTAGAACCTCATCCTCCTCCTTTATAACATTTGATGAAATTCTCACACCATCATCATCAAAATAAGACCATCAACCTCTTCTTTCTAACATCACTCTATTACAAAAAGGGTCTCTAAATATATATCCCCCAAACTATTTGGAGCTCATTACTATCTTACTCTCAAACACTTCACTTGATTTCTCATCTTGTTATCTCCCCCTTAGGTCTAAAGCTAACACTTGAAAGCTATGGACCTATCCCGTCATCTCTAAACTGGTCTACATCATCTTTTACTCTAACACTGGGAGAAGTTTATCTCATGACTACCAAACTCTCTATAAGCGGGTACTAAGACCTCTTTCCAAGGTGCCTCTCTTAATATCTTCTGATTACATACCATCTCGATACACCTCTTAATGCTATTGTTACTCTTGTGACTTAGCCACAATTTACTGCCCTTATCTAAAGGTTAGGGTCTCTCACTTGTACCACTCATATCTATTCCAGCTAACATCTCAATTCCTTAAGTCTTCTAGATCAAATCTCAAGACTAACAACATCACTTTCATGTTGCCATTCCTTTGATCATGACACTCAACTCAAATTCAAGCTTAATGTTTATTACTAAACCTGAATATCAATACGATTGCTCACCTACTATACTATACTTCATTACTTGATCAGTTCTATAATATTCTGAACATCCTCTCAAACAAATCAAAAGCCTAGCTTAGATCAATCACTTCATAAATACCCTGCTC